CGCCTGCCGCGCCGCTGCCGACGCCGCCCGGAGCTCCGGTTCCGCAGCACCGCGCGGGGGCGGGGCGTCTCTGCGGCAACCAGAGCGTCACACGCAGCGGTGCGCACTGACGTCAGCGCGGAGGCGGAGCCTTCTCCAGAGGGTCCCCTGCCGTCCTTAAACGGGCCGCGGCGTCCGCCTCCGAGATGGGCACCAGGCGTGCGCCGCCAGGCGGAGCCGACGTCGAGGTGTCGGGCAGGGTCTTAGGTGTGACAGTTCTGCACCCAGAGCAGATGCACCTGTATGCCTGGGCCTCCCCAGTGGGGTGGGTTGAGATCTAGGAAAGGGCTGTGCCAAAAAAATATTAACCATAGCCAAATTTACGTGCAACTGCTCTTCTAAGTGCTTGACTCCTCAGGACAACGCTACCAAACAGTACTATTACTGTCCCTGTTTACAGATAGGAGGAGGCAGAGGTTAAGAGACTTGTCCAAGTCCAAAGCTAGCATGTGATGGGGCTGAGATTTTCACCCAGCAGTTTTAATGTAATGTCATTCATCCAATTAGTATTTGCTAAGTGCCTGCTGTGTACCAAAACCTATGATTTTGTTGAGAACGTGAACAAAGCAAAGACCACCTAGCTTTTAGGGAACTCAGGGACAAGGGGTGTGTTTGGGGGAGCGGTGTAGGTGGATGGCTGGAGGAGAAGGAGCCAGGCAGTTAGAATGAATAAAGGGCTGTGAGAGGTGAGACACAGGTTTGTTGGGGTTACACCAGGAGATGCAGTGAACCAAGGCATCCTGGAGGAAGAGCTTCTAAGATGAGATATGTGGGGGTTGGGAGGGGAGGCATTTACATAATGAATGCAAAGGTGCATTGGGGGGCTGAAAGAAGTGACTGGGCGTGAAATTTGGGTGTCTGAGAAGCTGTAGGAGGGGTGGTTGGGGCCAGGTGATGTAACTCCTAGTAGCTGATGATAGATAGGGTGTTTGGCGTCCATCCAAAGGGCACAGGTGGGCATTTAGGGGTTTTAAGCAGGTTTGGTGTTTGAAGGCTCACTCTGATGGCTGGGTGGAGAGGGGATGGACTGGGCCAGAGCAGAGGCAGGGAGGCCAGTTAGGAGGCCTCTGTAGAAATCCAGGCAAAGATGGACTAAGAAAAACAGTGGTGGGAAAGAGGAGGGAAAAAGGGATGGATTCAACAGCAACTCAGGAAGTAAAATCAGCAAGGCTTGTTGACTAATTGGCTGAGCCAGTAAAAGGAAGGAGGTTTCTGGCCTAGGAGCCTTTAGGAGAACACAGGAAAAGCAGACTTGTACAGGAGGAAATAATGACTCCAGCGGTGAACTTAAGAGGCTCCCAGGTGATGGTTAGTGGACTGCATAAGATAGGGACTTGGGAAGGGAGGGTGGAGCTGGTGGCTGTATTGCTGTTAAGCCATGACTGGTGCCCCAGGACATCCCTGAGTATTGCAGCCATTGGCCACGCATTCATTAATCCTAGAGAGGGAGCAAGGATTGCCCCAGAGATCCAAGCCCAGGCCCCGTGAGAGAAGGCCAAGAGAGGAGATACTGTGACCCAAAATCCAAGATGAAGTGAGTGTCCTGGAGCCTGGTCCCCTGACCCTCCCAGTGTAGCTGCCCTTCCCCCCAGCAATATCAGTAAATATAATTGCTCTGTGCTGGCTGTCTCCAGGAAGTAACTAAACCCTACAATCTGGGACCTTGCAGTCTAGTTGGAAAAACTACATTTACTCATTCACTCCATGAGTATTGACTGAGCTCCTAGCCCTGTCCTAGGTCCCTTTCTAGGCACTCAGCAGGATACAGGAGTGACCAAGAAAAATGACACCCTTCCCTTGTTCAGTGGGGGGAAACAGAATATAAACAAGTACAGAATTAACTTTAAGTCGTGGTAAATGTTATGAAGAGGCTGATGTGTGGGCCATGGCAGGTGCATTAGTTGGGTGGCCAGGGACGATTCTTAGAGGAAGCAATGCTTAGATAGAGACCTGAATAACTAGAGGAATTATTGCTAAGCTGGCTCTTAGTTAAGAGTTGAGCCAAGGGAGTTTGGAAGGCTATGCTGGGCACTGGGAGAAATAAAAAGCAAAATAACAGTCAAAATACCTGAGGCTCTGCCCGGCTGGCATGGCTCAGTGGCTGAGCCTCGACCCATGGACCGGGAGATCAGGGTTCGATTCTGGTCAGGGCACATGCCCAGGTTGTGGGCTC